GTAAAACCTCTAATAGGGGAAATGTGTGAAAGGTAAAGCATTACAACAAAAGAGGCAAAAATGAACTCATAAACTTAACTTACAGTGACAGCAACGTCAACAAAAAGTGACAAAATGAGAAAAAAATATTCATTAGAGAAGTGAAAAATCACTACAAGCAGTAAAACACCTACAATAAACAACAGAGTAAACTAAAAAAGACACAAACCAACCAGAAAAAAATAAAGACAGCACCAAACAGTTTGTAACAAGAAGACTTAAAATGAATTAAACTTCATTTATTGCATGTTTTCAAGTTATGATCCCATGTGGAAAACCACTTGACCACATAAAATGCTCCAAATCCACACGGGTAACATGTTTTTTCAAACATGTTTCACATGTGATGATCATGTGGTCTGTCTGTTTCCTCCATATCTGATTCTTCATATTTAGCTCAGTTGAAATCAATAAACAATAAACCTAATCCTCTTTTCTTTAATCAATTTATTTCTTATTTTCCCAGCCTGGGTCCAAAATTAAACTGTGAACTTTGAGGTTCGATTAAAATCAAATTAAACACATTTACATGGGAGGAGCAGTCAATGATATTTTGTTAAATTTGCAAAAGATTTGAAGAATTTACTTCTTGTATTTCTCCCAGTTACCACTCGTATAAAACCCAATAAGATGGAGTAAAGACTGTAATAATGAGACAAATAGCTCTAAAAGTTAATGTACTGCTTTTGTCTTTCTGTCTCTCTCTTTTTTTTAGATAATGAAACTGTACCAAAAAAAATGAAATCATTATTTTTATGGGACTCTTGAGATTTAAGCCCAACAAAGGAGGTGCTGATTTATGGCGAGCGGTGGAAATTATCTGTAAATTGCCTTTAAAGACCTACAATCAATAATGTTAGTGGCATCCTACTCGCAGCGCTTTCAGAGTTTCAGGGTACACTTTGCACATGTTTTGTTTCCAAACCAAAGAGTTCAAAATAGTCATTTTTCACCTTTTTTTATAAATAGCAGCAGGGTAGCTATGAATCAAGCAGAATATAAGCGATTTATTTATTTATTTATTTAAAAGATGTATTTATTCAGGGTATGGTTGTTGCAATTTGATGAGATCTGCACAATTATTTATTACACTGCTCCTCTGTGGCGTCACAGAGCCTGAAGTATTAAAACTAATAATAAAAACAGGCCCGCCTGGAGTTCTAACAGCCGTTTCGGTTCTTTTCTGTGTCTCAAGCCTATCGACGTGAAGGTTGATGTGACAAAGTGCGCCTTCTGGGAGTATGAGGTGGACAGCCTGCAGGGTCGCTGGTCCACTCACGGCTGCAAGACCATCCAGGTCAGCAGCAACGCAACCAGCTGTTCCTGCGATCACCTCACCCACTTCGCCATCCTCATGTCATCCGGGAGAGCAAATGTGAGCCATCAACTCAAAAAAAAACTAATTGTCACCCTTAATTTACCCTCTAAAAGACAGGTTGTTTCTATTTTCTTAATACAGTGAACGTTTTAAAAGAGCAAATCTAAAACTTTTCTTAGTCAACTCTAAACTTGAGCTGTGTTGTAAATTAAAAAAAAATAAACACATTGAAAATCTAAAGGTTGCTTTCTTAGAATGTGCATCAATAAACAAGACAAACAGATTAGGATTTTAGGACCAGTTTGAGCCTGGTTCGTCCACAAAGACCCCTGCCCGTCATCCCTGTCGTAACGCAGTGATTCCAAGCAGAAAATACAACAAATTACAGCTCCAGCATACCATAAAGCTGCGAATGAAACACCTCCCTTTCCATTCGCTCCTCAGCTGGCGGCGCACAATACGATCCTGACCCGGATCACCCAGCTGGGGATGATCATCTCCCTCATCTGTTTGTCCATGTGCATCTTCACCTTCTGGTTCTTCAGCGAGATCCAGAGCACCAGGACCACCATCCACAAGAACCTGTGCTGCAGCCTCTTCATGGCCGAGTTCATCTTCCTCGTGGGGATCAACATGAACACGCACAAGGTTTCTAAAGAGCTCTTGTTTGAACAGAAACAACTTTTTTTTTTACATGTAACAAAGCAAAAGAGCTGTTTTGAAGACCACAAAGAGCTTTTATTTACACGCAAATCCATAAACTGTCTCCGTCTTTCTTCTCTTGTCTGTTGCTTGGCAGCTTTTCTGCTCTGTGATCGCAGGGTTGCTGCACTATTTCTTCCTCGCAGCGTTCGCCTGGATGTGCATCGAGGGCATCCATCTGTACCTCATCGTGGTTGGCGTCATCTACAACAAAGGCTTTCTGCATCGCAACTTTTACATCTTTGGTTACGGGAGCCCGGCAGTGGTGGTGGCAATCTCAGCGACGCTGGGCTCAAAGTACTACGGTACTGAGAGAGTGTAAGTGCGCATAAAAATCATTCATTTTTTTTAATGCGGTGATGGTGTGAGGGCAAAGTGCATTTGGACTTCCTTTTGAATYCATTCAGCATTTCTCATCAAGCAGAATAAACATTAAATTAATGTTAAACAAATGAAAAGAAGAAGTCTGAGTCACTTAATTAACTGACAGGAGCTAACAATAACTATGACTAATAATTTTTATTAAGATGAACACCTGAGGTTAAATGCAAAAAATGTCTATTTTAGTT